ATTCAAAAGCATACGGCAAACTTATTTGGCTGTGGCTCGTTATACCAAACCAATCGTCATTCAAATCCTTACTCTCGTTCTAATTGGTGGGAATCGCTTCCTAGGACAGCGAAATAAAGGCCAACCTTATGCATCGGCTAGCGACACTGTCCCTAGTAGTAGCTGAAGCGTCCCACATACACCCCTATGACTTAGTGCGTCTGAGGTCCAATTGGCTGAAGGCGACGGGCTATACACGCACACCTACACACCTGCACAAGTGAGTGGGGTACGCACGGAACAAATTAATTGAGTAGACTCATGTTGAATGCCCCCTCAGATTATTCCTGTTGCCCAAGTGGACAACTTGTCCGGGAAATGTTATTGATGCTCTTGGGTGGAACACGAAACCTTTCCGTTTTCCTGACAAATTCCCATCTTCATACTTCGATTCTATTTTGTTTACTTTTTCTCGGCATTGGTATTATTCTCTTCTTTTAACTGATTTCCCCTACTCTCCTACCTTCGATTTTTCTTCCTCTCTTACTTACTTCACGTAACTAACAATGCTGGGACAGCTAATGTAAGCAACGTGGGCATTAAATTGGTGGACCAGGGTGTTTTCGTTTGCGACCCATCAAGAAGTCGGAGCATCCCTATCAACTCCTGGATCGACGACCCGCTCAAGAAGGAACACTTACGGGATTCATCCTATCGTTCCAGTCCCACTTGAACTTGAACTTGAACATGCGTCCTCTCGCCTCAAATTTACATTTTCCACATTGGAGGTGCTAGCCCCCCCACGCGCTATGTAGTTGGTGGAAGTGAACTCCCTGTTGTCATTCAGCAGGTTGATTTAGGTATCACCCATACCTCATTGCTTCACTCTGGGGAAAATTGGAGGAAGGCTGCTTGTAGAGGGTTCCGTATGCTGTGGTTTATTCGCCGCTCCTTCGGTGTCCTAACGGCCAATATCTTTGTGAAGCTGTTCTCAGCTTTTGTGTGACCTCACTTAGAGTACTGTATCCAGGCTTGTCCACCTTGTCTTGTAAGGGACAAAATGGAACTGGAGAGGGTTTTGCGAGTGGGTACAAGGTTAGTGCAAGGATCACGGGGGCAAACGTATCCCAAACGTTTGCTTAGCTTGGGTATGTACTCAATGCACTACCGCAGAATTAGAGGAGACTTGATTCTCACTTACCGTGTTTTAACGGGTAAGATCGGTCCAGACTTGTCCTGGCTATTTAGTCCCGCCAAGCTGCCTAGTCTCCGAGGTCACCCGTTGAAGCTGCACAAACAGCGTTCTGACCGGGTAAGGACGGAAACTCGCTTGTCGCGTCGAGTTATTGAACGTTGGAACTCGCTTCCGGCGCACGTGGTTAGGGAGTCTACGGTAGAGGGTTTCGAGCGTCAGTTAGATGCTCTTGGGGGGCAGTACCAAACCTTCCCCTTCTCCTAACCGACTTGTATCTTCAACTTTCCCTTCGTTCTTTTTTAATTTTCTTCTCACCTTGGTATTATCATTATTTAGCTGACATTCCTCTTCTTTTCTTAGCTTACCCTTCACTCTTTTACTTCACATAAACCGGCCCGGCAGGGACTGCTGGGCAGGAAAATGTGGGCAGTAATTGGTTGGACAGGGTGTGATGCGGTCTTTGTTTTAGGCTTTTCAACATCTCAAGCAGACCTGTCAATTCCCGATCCAACGATACGCAAAAGAAGGAACATTCACGGGATTATCCTATCGTTGCGGTCCCAACTGAACTTGAACTTGTACTGGAATATGTAGTGTATTTTGATGCTGGCATATGAAAGTGCAGAGATTGCTCTTGTTCTTGCTTCATTCTATTGCAGAAGCAAGAAGAGACAATCCAACGTCGAAGTGCCGGGGGCCGCTTCACTTACCGGCACAAGAACTGGACGCTCGTTAGGCGGAAGCCACTATCGTCCATCTGACCTGACCTGACCTGACCTGAACAACATCCAACCGTGTGTACCGAAATCGCACTTTCAAAAGATCATTGATCGCAGGTGGTTGATCCGACGCTCCGCTCTATCTTGCCTGTGTAACAAACGAGCGAAACTAGGTTGGAGCGTGGTCGAATTTGAGTCGTTGCTTTGACTGGACATTTTCCCTCTGCCTTTCAGGACGTCATTCTTGCGCAATTGCTGAAGAAGCACAAGAACCTGAGGAGAACAGTTAACTAGCATACGTGTTGCGTAATAGAAGTCTCCAGGCAAAAATTGCTGGGGGCTCCCACTTGGAGGAGGTTTGTATAACCGAGGCTCAAGTGCTCCGGCTTTTGCGGCAATTAAACCCCCATAAAGCTGCCAGTGGAGATGCTATTCATCCCAAACTGTTGTACGAGTTGGCTGATGAACTTCGCCATCCGATTACGCAACTTTTTGTGGAGACTACGAGGCTACTCTCTACCGAAGGACTGGAAGAAGGCTATTGTTTCCCATTTTTTAGAAAGGTGATAGGCACCTCCCTGATACCTATAGACCGGTCTGTTTAACGAGCGTGCTGGTCAAGTTATTGGAAAAGCTCGTGAGGGACGCTCTCGAAGGACACTTGAAAGCGTTTGAGTTGCTTAATCCTTCTCAGTACGGTTTTCGTAAGGGCTATTCTTGCCTTACTAACTTGTTAACCGCTCGTGAACACTGGGCCGAAGCCGTTGATTGAGGGAAGGCAATGGACGTGCTGTTTATTGACTTTTCCAAAGCTTTTGACACCGTTCCACGTTAACGCCTTTTGTACAAGCTGAATTCCTGTGGTATTTCCGGACCAGTCTTACAATGGATTTCAGCTTTCCTAATCGGAAGGGAAATGTGTGTGCGGGTGGGTTCAAGGCTATCCTTCCGCCAATGTGTTCTCAGTGGCGTTCCGCAAGCTTCGGTTCTTGGCCCCCTTCTCTTCACTTTATACGTTAATGACCTACCTGATGAATTGGGTGTGCCATCCCTAATGTTTGCGGATGACTTGAAACTCTGGTTCACGATAGACGAGGCGATTAGTCCACAGACCCTACAGGGGGCTCTGGATGGACTTTGGGACTGGTCCCTTTTGTGGCAGTTTCCCGTTAATTTAGCGAAATGTTCCGTTTTACGCGTCGGCCCGGAGGACCCGTTGACGCGATATTTGCTTGGCGGCAACGAGGTGTCGCGAGTTCAACTCCAATCTGACCTCGGTGTTTTGCTGTCATCCGACTTTAAGTCCAGTGAACACTGGGCGACAGCTGTTCGCAAAGGTTTCAACATGTGGATGATCCGCAGCTCATTCGGGATTATGACCACCGACATGTTCGTTAGACTATTTTCGGCTTTTGTAAGGCCGCACTTGGAATACTGCGTTCAGACTTGTCCTCCATGCCTGGTTCGTGATAAGATGGCAGTTGAACGAGTCCTGCGGTCCGGGACGCAAATGGTTCACGAATTAAAGAAGCTGACATGCCCGGCGAGGCTACGTAAGTTGGATATGTTTTCCATGTATTACAGGCGGCTTGGGGGCGACTTGGTCCTCACATATCGTATATTGATGGGTCAGATTAGTAATAAAAATAATGTGTCAGCTGTACGCCGTAACGGCGCTTCGCTGCCAGCGCGACCACCACCCGTCGCACGAGGGCTTAGTATACCGCGAGGACGCCCACCCCTACTCGGATTCGAACCGGTGACCTTATGGTTGCAAAGCAAACGTGCAGACCACTCTGCCACCGGCCGACGATGGGTCAGATTGGTCCTGATTTGACTGGACTGTTTCGCCCAACTCGACTGCCAACCCTTCGTGGCCATCCATTAAAGTTGCACAAACCCCAGTCTGACCGGGTTTGGGCAGCTTTTCGGTTATCGCGTAAGATTATGGCTTATTGGAACGCATTGCCCACAGACGTCGTGATGGCACCGACGGTGAAGGAGTTCAAACATCGAATTGATGCTCTCGGTCTGTAGTTTAAAGTCTTCCCCTTCATGTCTTAAACTTTTCTTCGTCTTCTACGGCCTACGCTTCTTTAACTCATTTTAACTTACATCTTAATATTGCCTGCGATATTCGATAAGCTTGTCTTCTCTGTTTCCTTTCCTTTACTGACACTACTGTTTTCTTTTATTCTTCGTGTCCAGCACAGCGGGACTGCTAGTGCAGGGCACGTGGGCATTGTTTGGTTGACCATGGGCATCGTGTGTGTTGATTTGGCTCTCCTTTGGCACATCAAGGCACCGGTTTCCCTGTTGGATCAACGACGTTTTTGAAGGTGGAACATTCGTGGGATTTTCCTACTGTTCCGGTCCCATTTGAACTTGAAGTTACGTCTCAATCCTTGGAATTCTCCCTTGTCTGCATTCTATAATTGGCGACCCTGCCAGGATACCGGAGCGATGCAGAAATCAAAGAGTCAGTGTGAAGACGAAAGTCAAAAGCTTGTTGTTGATCCCAGAGTGAGAATTTCGGTCGCCTTGGAATTACTGTCAGACGTTCTACAAAAGATGACTACGAATCCGCTACCAACCGCGTCCACACCCCCGCTACCGCCCCCCGAAAGATTTTCACCGGGCATGTCTTACTCTAGGTGGGAAAAACAAGCCCAGCTGTACCTAAAGAACTTTCCTGTTTTGCAACGCGGTACCGTCATAATGAGACTGCTCTCAGGAGAGGCGTTCGATATCGTGGCGGATACTAAACTTCTAGAAGAAATGGTCACACAGGAAACATTCGTCTCCCTTCGGCGCTTACTGGATCGGCCCAGCCTGCCCGACGAATTGTGCAAAGCTTTTCATGCCCGGTACCAAAGACCGGGGGAAAACGTAGAAACATACGCTCGTGAACTGCGGAGGATGGCAGTCACTGCCTACGCGGACGAAAAGCAAGAACAACAGGACAAGCGCATTTTAGAGCAGTTGTTCGAAAGTATCCAAACTCCTTCGGTAAAAAGGGTTTCGTTTACGACGCGTACGTGTCTTCAGGCAGCCTTGGAAATGTCAGACCTATTAGAGCAAGTGGACGCGTCCATGGGTCTGTAGTGGAAAGACCAAACGGAAAGGGCTTAACTACATATAAGAACTCAGTCTATAAATAAGAATGCTGTAGCTGACCTTAGGTAAAGCACGATCTTCGCTAGGCTGTCAGTTAGTCGCACAATCTGGTCGGAAGACGGAACTTAGTCGGCACAATAAATCGACGCGTTAGATCCGATGATCGATGGACGAGGCCAGCAGACAGACGACGACCAACAGCACAACACGCGTAGCCGAAACCAGAAGGCGAATCGAAACCCGAAAAAGTGTGTTATCGGTTGTTGGTCAGTTAAAACAAAACTGTACAATAATAATGGAAATGAGAATAGGAAAGTACAATTGGGAAGAAAGATATGTACAAGCGCTACAGAACTCCCCCCTAGAGCGTGAGTCACTGAGACGAAAGCTCGATACTTGGGTGTCATTTACCGTAGTCTGGAAGGGAGAACAACTGTACGTCCGAAGCGTGTTCGATGATGCGATTTCGAGTTTGTGTCGTGAGATGCTTGGGGTGCAGAAGAGGGAACAGAGGTGTCAGACATGGGCTGAGTAGGAGGCGTACTTGGGAAGGTGGGCTGGTCGGTGACAGGAATGTCCGTGGGTTTCGGTATAGGTCGCGACTCGATGTACGCCGGCTTCAGGCGGTCAATAGTCACAGTATCCTGATAACCATTTCTATCCAGCACGAAGTACTTCTCTTTCCGGGCAACAACCTTGAAGGGGCCCTCGTAAGGCGGTGTCAGAGGTTTACGGACGGAATCGATGCGCACGAGAACGAAGGGGCAAGTGCGCAAATCCGGGTGTACCTGTTGACTCCGAGGACTGATTCGAGGTGGCGTTGGACGAATTGAACTGAAGTGCTGCCTCAGGCGTGTGACGTACGAGGTCGGATCAACTTCTCCAGTAACCCTTGAGTCTAGCACCATTTCTCCAGGAAGCCTGAGAGTAGTGCCAAAGACCAACTCAGCGGGACAACAGCCAATGTCTTCTTTAATGGTGTTACGAATACCAAGCAAGATAATCGGTAGACGTTCTGACCATTGTGAGTTCGACTGTGAAGCAGTAAGTGCAGCTTTAAGTTGACGATGGAAACGTTCAACGATGCCATTAGCAGCTGGGTGATAGGCGGTTGTCCGTAGGTGGGAACAACCGAGCAAGCGGTTCATGTCACGAAACAAGGCCGAATTGAATTGGGACCCTCTATCGGTAGTAATAGTGGCTGGCGTGCCAAAGACGGAAATCCAATTCTCAATGAATGTTCGCGCCACCGTTTCTGTAGAAGCATCACGTAAAGGCACGGCAAGTGGCCAACGCGTATAACGATCGACACATGTCAATAAGTAGACAAAACCGTTGGATGGAGGCAAGGGTCCAACGATGTCAAGATGAACATGTTTGAAACGAGCGTCGGGAAGAGCAAACGTGCCGGGGACGGTAATCGTGTGACGGTGGATCTTGCTGGTTTGGCAAGTGATACAATGTTTGGCCCACTGCTGGATCTCGAAGCGCATGTTGTGCCAAATGAAGCGATCAGTAATTAGCTTGACGGTGGCTCGGATGCTCGGGTGTGAGATTCCATGCAGGTGGTCAAAGACGATTCGGCGGTACTGCTGAGGGACAAAAGGCCGGGGCTTGCCAGTGGAAATATCACAGTAAATTTTGGAGTCTGAGTTAAGGGTTGCCAACTGTGATATTTTGATCGACGGATTTGATCTCAGTTGCACAAACTCAGGATCTCCTTCCTGATGAGCTGCTATGTCTTCTAAGTTAATCTTCTGCCGTGAAACTTCGTGAAGATATATACGTGACATGGCATCGGCGACAACGTTATTGGCAGCATCAACATGGCGAATGTCGGTCGAAAACTGTGAAATATAATCCAAATGACGAATTTCTCTGGGGGAGAAACGGTCGGATGAACCACGGAAAGCAAAGGCAAGTGGTTTATGGTCTGTAAGAATGGTAAACGTGCGACCTTCAAGCAGGTGCCGAAAATGTTTGATAGCGAGGTAGATAGCTAAAAGTTCTCGACCAAAGGTGCTGTATCGCGTCTGTGCTGGCTGGAGTTTGCGGGAGAAAAAGGATAGCGGCTCAGATTGACCGTTGATTACCTGCTGGAGAACAGCTCCAACGGCGGTCTGAGATGCATCAGTCTTGAGGCTGAGAGTGGCGTCAACATCAGTCCTCAAGTGACTAAGCGCGGTAGCGTTGGACAACGCGTGTTTGATCTTGTCGAATGCATCGATAGCTTCCTGAGTGGGCTCGAATTTTCGTGACCTGCCTTTAAGTAAATCGGTCAATGGCTGGAGTAGCCCAGAGCAACGTGGTATGAAACGGCTGTAGTAATTCACCATGCCGAGAAAACGACGGAGACTTTTAAAAGATTGAGGCATGGGGTAGTCTGTAATCGCTTGTGCTTTCTCGGGGAGTGGACTAATGCCATTGCAATCAATTCGGTGGCCCAAAAAATCAACAGAACTTTGGCCAAAAACACATTTGTCAACATTGATCGTAACGCCGTACTGAGCAAAGCGTTCGAAAATCGATCGGAGATGTGACAGATGCTCATCATGATTGGAACTGGCCACAAGAATATCGTCAATGTAGGCGTAGACGAAATCGAGCCCTCTAAGGACTTGATCGATAAACCTTTGGAAAGTCTGTGCGGCATTTCGTAGACCAAATGGCATGTGAACGAATTCATAAAGACCAAATGGCGTGGTTATAGCGGTCTTCGGAACATCGTCGGAGGCAACCGGGATTTGGTGGTATGCACGCACCAAGTCAATCTTAGAGAAAACTGTTCTTCCATGTAAACCAGTTGAAAAATCATGGATGTGCGGAACCGGATATCTATTGGGGACGGTGGAATTGTTTAGTGTACGGTAATCTCCGCAAGGTCGCCACTGGACTTTTTGGGAACCATATGAAGCGGGGAGGACCATGGGCTATTTTTAAGGGCAAACGATACCGAGACGAAGCATATGTTCATACTCTGCCTTGGCAGTAGCGAGCTTGTCTGGAGGTAATCGTCGAGGTCGGGCGGTTACTGGCGGCCCATGTGTTAAGATGTGGTGCGTAACTTCGTGCTTAGGCTCAGGAAAGTCATTAGACGCTTGACACAGAGCAGGAAACTGCAGTAATAGTTTGGTAAACACATTGTCGGCGGGCAATGCCAAACGTAGACCGATCGAACTGATCGAAGTGACTTTACCGAAAACGGACAAGGATGTCAAACTATCGCATAGTTTACGGTTACGCGGGTCCACGATCAGGCCAAACTTGGTAAGCAAATCAACACCAAGAATGGGGTGTTGGACGTCAGCAATGAGGAAAACAAAGGGAAAACTTCAACGAAGACCAAGTTTAAGAGTCAACATTTTCTGGATGTATGTATGGAGCTTGGTATTATTCGCCGCCTGCAATGTCTGTCCGGTTGGAAATAGGTTGCGCTTTTCTGCAGAACGAGGAATAACGCTGACCTCGGCACCGGTGTCAACCAAGAAGTTCAAATTGGTTGAGGAACCGTAGACATAAAGTAGGCCACTGTAAGATTGGCCAGACGCAGCCGTCGCCATCACTGGCTGGCGTGGAGGTTTCTGTAACGGGGTTTAGAAAACCAGTCCAGTATGCTCGACCTTACTACGTAAGCGCAGGTTACCGGAGTCAGCGGATCAGTTCGATCGAGAGAACGCGTGAACCCACCGGAAAACAGCGATGGCTGGACAGCGAATCACGAGTGGCACACGTATCCAGAAACCGACAAACCGGATTGGACAATAGAACATGGAGGGCGCACTGGCAACTCGAGAATCGCTATTAACGGCAAGTTTCAGAGTGCAAAGCCAAATATGAGCGGTCCAAAAAAATATGGCCAATCAGATGCCAAGCACGAAAGACGTGATCATTGCGCGAGACAGGAAGACAGCGACCGAAGAGGAATAACATAACCCAATTAAATAAAAGGGGAACGCAACCAATGAGGTGAGCCGAACAACAGGAGACCCACTGAGGAGGCTCGAAGATTAACAGTGTTTATTTCCTTTAAATAGGCTACACTATACTAAATAAACACCTGTTTTCCGCCAGCCGCCATCGTGACTTTTTGATCGTGTCCGTGTCACTTAACCTGGTGACAGAGGGGAAGAAGAAACCGATGCCCAAGATGCAGCTTGCAGTTGGAGGTCCACCGGCGATTCCGTTTCCATCCCCTTTCCAGATGACTGAGAGTTCTCTACCAGACAGTTGGCGGATTTGGAAGAGCAAGTGGGCGGATTTCTCAACACTGACTCAGCTGGACGCCCAGCCGATGAACTACAAACTCGCAATGTTTAGGCACGCTACTGGTGACGATGCAAGGAGGGTTCTTGAAACACTGAAGTTTGGCGGTCAGAAGGCGGATCTATCCGAAGTGATGCGGACATTTGGCGAGTTCTGCGAAGCGCGTGTGAACGAGACCTACCAACGATATCTGTTTTTTGGACGCGATCGTTTACCGGGGGAGTCGTTCGAGAGATACATCACAGAATTGAAGCTCCTGGCAGAACTTGGAATTTCTGTGAATGCATGAAGGAGTCACTAATACGGGATCGCATCGTTATTGGGATAAGGAACGATGAACTCACGCCGGTTTCTTCGACAGAGGAACTTGTCTCTGGAACAGTGTGTTGACATCTGCCTCAGTGAGGCCAGAACAGATCAGCAAGTCGAACATCCGCGCGCCGAAAAGAATACGGAGTTGTTCGCATTATCCCGAACCGAGGGATGTATCCCGAGATCACCCGATGAACAGGTAACTGATTGCCAGTTTTGCGGCCGCAGGCACCAAAAGAAGAAGGAGAGTTGTCCAGCGTAGGGTCGGACGTGCATGAAGTGCTCCAAGAAAGGTCACTTTGCTCGTTGCTGTAGATCAAACAGAGTGAGTTCGGTTGCCGACGATGCCAGAGAACGGGAACAAGAATTGTTGATAAACAACATGGATGGCCGGGCGAAAAGGAAGTGCGTGTTTGCAACACTTTTGGTTCGAGGACAACCGGTACGTTTTCAGCTATACTCTGGGGCTGCGGTTAACATCTTGCCTGAAAAATACTGCAAGGGATTGCGATGTGAATAAGCACAAAAGTGTCTCAAAATGTGGAACGGCTCAAGGCTGCAACCGAAGGGCATCGTCATTTTGGAGACGGTCGATCCAAAGGAAGGAACAGAGCACCCACTGGAATTCCTGATTGTTTCGGAAGACCTTGTGCCCATTCTGGGCATTGATTCTATCCAGCGTTTTTGTTTGTTTCTTTTAACCACGAACGTTTTGTTCATGCCTGTGACGTCGAGGTAGATTTTTTGTGATAAGTACTCGAGTGTGTTTGATGGCGGAGTAGGGATGTTCGAGGGACCCGCTCACTTATCGTTAAACGAGCTAGCAACACCGGTGGGGTATCGGATCGAGAAAATCTATAAGGTCAGTTGCGATGTGGGTAGGAAGCTGGGCAGTGACATGTGCGAACATTAGGGACTGAGAAGTAATACGGCGTATGCGAAAAAGAGCTTCCCATTGTAAAAAC